ATGTAAGTATGTATGTATGTATATATATATATATATATGTGTGTGTGTGTGTGTGTGTGTAGAGGTATTTATTTACGTATTTGTGTATGTGTATGCATTTATAAATGTATATGTATAGGTATATGTATATGTATTTCTATGTATAGGTACATATATTAGATATTTTCAGGTATTGGTTTGGTGTATAAGTAGAAATGGAATTAGGCATTCGAGCAGGTAGATAGAATCAACTTCAATATATATATACCAATCAACAAACCTGCGATGAATATATAGTTTTTGATAAATGTCTGCGAATGTCCGCTTCAAACTTTATATATGCACATATCCTACTGACAGGGACTTTGTTGTAGTTTTCTGTCCCTATTTTAAATCTAGCTATAGTCTATGATTCTTATCTCTTCAAACTCCAAAATGTTACAGCTTCTCAGCTTTGAAACGAGGGGGGCAACGCTTGTCCGATTTACAACGACAATCCGACCGGTCTGATAGTTCTGCAGACGCTACAGCACCCGACACCCCGCAGCCCCGAGAGGTAGTGTGCGACTACTTGGAGCTCTCGGCCACAGCTGAGGAGCTGCCAAACTTTCATGGAGGTATGCGTACTATTCAAGAATGATACACAAAACATGTGTACATTGTCGGGCCATATAAGTATAAAAATTCGAGTTGTGCTCGATCAGAGAGCTTGGTTCTTTTTACTGAGAGTTTGTGTGGAAGGAATGCTCTGTAAAGGGTGCCTCAGGATCAGGCTTAATCTGTAATTTGATTTGCTGGCCTACTCCAAATTCATGCAGTCGGTCAGCATTCTAAGATGTACACCCTAATCATGTCCATAACCTATGGGTTTGGGCAGAAAACGGTAGCCACACTTCTCAACGACCGCTAGAATGACATTTCAGCTCATTTTCTAGTCGTCGTAAGCGTTTATATCTTACCTTGTGCGTGCAGTTGAAAATATCTGTCTCCCGCATTTCTCTGTTGGCACTATATTGAGCCCGGTAGAAGCTACAACACTGATATTACTATAGCCTATCTGGAGTCGATTCAATTGCGTTAATACCTTGAAGTGCACTTGGATTTTACATTCATCAGTTTATTGATTTTCATTTCCGATAACAAAAATGGTAGAGTGCCACTGTCAAGGCGGATTCTACATCCGATCTTTGGTGAGAGATATTGGTGTCTACTTAGGATCCGTCGCGAATACGACTTACATAGAGCGGACCACCGTTGGTGAGTGGATCGAGAACCTGCACCTCAGACTGATATTTGTCTATTCACAATTGAATTGATTTATCTTATGTGGATGAACTTGAATGAGCTGTGTACTTATTGCATGCGAGTATTTGAAAGAAAACCATAATTGTGATTTACTACCCGACAGCCAGGAGACATAATATA